TTGTATATTTGTTTTCTCTCTTTTGTGCTTTTAGATGCGTCTTCAAGATCTCATTTTCCATTTCTATTTGACTTTGACAACTTCTAGTCTCATTTGTTAGCTTTTGGTTTTTACATTTCTTTATTTTTTCTCTCTTTATGTTCTAAGGTGCTGATACATATGTTGCTCTTTATCCTCCATTGTGTCTTATTCGAATGTATTACACTGGATTTTATGACTGTGTTTAGAAATATTTAACTTTAAATGTAGGCTTCCAAACAATGCCTTGCACATTTGCATATCTTTTTTAGTAATCTGTTTGAATGGGTGTAATTTGTGTATTTGGTTCTGAATGATGCAGAGGGTAAACATATCACCTCTAAATCCTTGATCTGAGGATGGAGAATTTGATCTTTGACATTGATCACCAGTATCCATCAATTGAGCTACTTCTGGTAAAGTACTGTAGATTAAAATACTACACTACTGGTTTAAATAATGTTACCAAAGAAACAATAAACAGTTCTGTTACTGTGCATGTACTCGAATCAATGTGGATATCATTATATCATTATTTTTAACTTTTACAAGACTGCAGTTAGATTTGGGACAGAGGTATTTCTAATTTACTACAACAAACTAAAATATAACTCTGCTGGGACACACAATGGACAGATGCAACAGAACTGCAGAAATGTAAGCAGTTATAATTATGACTTCTATTTCTTATAACAGCAGAGTGAATGAGCTTCACACCATTCATCTTTGATGCATGAAGCACGAGGTGAGTCTGTGTCCCATAGAGGATTAGAAAGAGAGAGAGAGATGAGGTACTGATAGATGCAGACTCAGCCTTGGCTCAAACTCTGACTCTCTTATTTCTCTCTGAAGAAGGGTCCAAGTCCAAAAAGATCAGGGTGCCTCCAGCTGGCACACACACACACACACACACACACACACACACTTACAAATTCTTTCTCTGTGTCCCAGCTCCCTCTGACCCTCCTGACCCACATACAGTTATATGACAGGGACCATGTGGTCTAGATGGCAGAATATGCAGTCAGATTATTTTACAGTGAACAAGCTCTCACCTCTCAGCAGACCAGCCTGTGCTACTGATCACTGGCCATTAACAGAGTGTTGCACCAATTGGCTGCTATGCCACTGACTAATCACGGGTCTTATGATCACTGCAGTGACCGGACCAACTTGAACACACATTCACAGATAATTAAAGATTTGAACACACATGATATGACACTGTACACCTACTTTAATTTAATTAAGTACTATACTTTGGTTTTGAGGTACAGGTATACATTATAATAACTATACATATATTTTATAGAGTTTTCCAGAGACAATAAAATAAATGAAACATACTGTATATAAATACAGAAATGTGTTGTTAAGAAAAAACATTCTTTGTCTTACTTAAGTGTAGAGGTTTTATGCACTCACTCTGTATAACACCTTTGCACTCACAAAATATGATACATTCCCCTATGGATTAACCTTCCCAGAAATATATAAAATGGTCAGTTTTAGTGTCACATGGACCACCACATTATTTAAATACTTCTAATATAGTAAGTAATATTAAACACTTTAAAAGGGATCATTCCTTAAAATAAATATGACCAATTCATTAATTATAAGAGAATTAACTATATTAACTTTAAACTATAAATGTATAAATGTATTTTTTGGTTTGGTTTAATGCTACTTTTACTCAAGATAAAGACCTGAACACATATCCCACCACACTACACCATATATTGTTATATATGGGCTTTTTCTACAGCTTCCATGCCATTTCTACAGAGAAGATCCTGTCACAGGTGTCCCTACAACCCCTTAACAAGCCCTCATTTTTTGGGACATCCCTCAGGATTCACTTGGTCAGTGAGTGTGGATCGATTCCACCCGCCTGTCCATTCATTCCACGCTTTACCAACCATGTGATCTATTCAGATATCCACACACATACTTGACATATGTACATGCATGACTGAGCACATTCATCTAAAGAAGGAATATTCTGCACAAAGAAAGAAGAGTTTTCAATCCATAAGCCTTCTGCTGCACCTGATATCCTGATAGTCTGCGTTTACCTGCAGCGTGGAACATCTCCGGGCATAAACATGAGTGTGATGGATGAGTGAGAGAGTGACATAGCTGGAGAGAGAGGGGAGAGAGAGAGAGAGAGAGAGAGAGAGAGAGTGAGAGCAAGAGAGAGAGAGAGAGAGAGAGAGAAAGAGAGAGCCTGACTTATAACAGTTTCTTTTTTTTTCTCTCCATACACCACAGAGTAGCATGTTATGTAGAACAGAAAATACATATGACCTATTTACAAGTCTCCTCAATTGTGTGTGTGTGTGTGTGCACGCACACCTCTCTCTATGTAAGGGACCATCCCTTGTAAAAGTGTGTGGTTTCCTCACAGGATATGGGTTTCTGGTGAAAAAGACAGAGGAAGTTCACTAAAGAAAGCTTCTCTTCTTTTCTTTCTCTCTCCTTCCAGCTTTCACTCCTCTGTCTTTTCACAAGACAAACGTTGTCTCACATGTGGATGCTCAGGATGATTTATGATCTATAATTTATGTAGGAAACATGCACGTTGATGAAATCCAATGTAGTGGAATTGAAAAATTGGAATTGACACTTTTTTATCTAATAATTTCATCTGTATAGGGGATAAATCATTAAGTTGTAAATTCTAGTTCAAAGAAAGACAAGCAGTGTTTCCTAAGAACTGTTAACATAGACCAGACATAAAAAAGTCCTCTTGGTCTTTTTTTAAATGTCTTATTTAATCTAATAATTGTTATTTAATGCAATACACCTTTCAATGTTACTTTGTGTGCAGAACGAAAGCTTCCTTCCTCAATGTCATCCTGTATGATTTATGCTTACTAAGTAATTGCTGAAAACACAAAGGAAACACACACCTGTTTCAGTGAGATGCAAAGACATCAACTTCTAAAGATACATATTTCTTCAGAAAACGTGACTAAGATTAAACTAACAATAGGGCAGGTGTGTAAAATCTGAGCTCTCAGGATTTAAAGGGCATGCAACAAGAACATTTGTAAAAACCAACAAGCATAAACTGGAGAAACACGTAGTAAAAATCAATATATAAAACATATTATAGTGCTTACATACTAAGTAATTAAAATCCATTATTGATGCGTCTGTCTAAAACACAAAGACTCTGGTCCCAGCCTTAAGGAAATAAAAAATTGACTTATATAGACGGTGTCAAGAGGAGTTTGGAACTACAGGTTGCGGCAGTGTGGAGGGTCACAGCGCTCAATGCTGCCTGGGCCTGTTTAACTCCTGAACACTGAGGGACAGTGTTCGCCACAGCTCCTTCATATTTAATTGTTATGTTGAATTATTCTGGCTCACTGCCGTGTTGTGCCACCATGAATTGGGCCGTGGAGTTTGTGAGTGTATCTTAGCGTGTGTGTGTGTGTGTGTGTGTGTAGGACAGGGACGAGAGGGAGAGTGATGTGGCAGGAGTTTGCCACGAACACTGGAAGCCTGTGGGAAAGCACAGCCATAGCAACAGAATGAATTAATGAACAGGATCCAAATGCTACGTTTAACACAAGGTACAAGCTCACACACACAGCCATGCCAGCTGGTGGTTTCATATTCAACATAGATGACCTGGTGATGCAGTTTGGGACAGAACTACTTCTACAACTACAAAACACCCAACCAGCAGCTCACAGCAGTGGTCATTATACTGAACATCACGTCATACAATCTTCAAAAGGTTCCACAAAGGAAAGAATCAAACCTGAAGCAGTTTCTTATCATTTACTTTTCTTCCACTCATAGTGACTTTAATCTAAAAAGAATCAACATTGCGTGTGAGGCACTTGATTATCAGACAGACTGAATGATTACATTGTGGTAGCTGAGTGAGGTTTCACTAACACGTTACAGTACATAGTATTGTAATGATTTGACTTGGTTTTTTTAAAAAAAAGGAGCACCACACAGAACATGTGTTCGTGTCTTTTGATATTATCTGAGCTGAGTGATATTCAGAAAATAGTCTGCAGCGCCCCCCTCAGGAAAAGACGAAGAAGAAGAACACCTGGTCAATTCAGATTTGGGGTCATTCAGTGATTTTAAAGGAAAACCTATACAAACACAAACACACACACACACACGGATTTACATCAGCTGATTGTAAAGCTCTATTTTCTCTATAGACGCAGTAAAACAGACTCAAATGGACAGTGTGTGAAAACGGGAAAAAAATATATTTTTTATGTTATAATGTATTAGTACGAGTATTTAAGCCATTAGACAGAAGTCATACAGTTTCTGATGTCCTATGCCTCTGGTATTACTTTCACTATGGAGAGTTTACTAGGTTCTTTTCAAAAAACTAATTTTGTCTGTCTGAAATTATTGAGAGTGGCAGAAACAAGCTTCAGTGCAGGTGGTGATAACAAACCCTGGGGCAGCCCATATAGGAGGCTGAAGCTAAAGCATTAACCCTTTCATCTAGTAAACCTTTAAAGATTTATGGCAGTTGGCCAATATTTAAAGACAAGTTTGGGCTTTTCTGCTCATAAGATGCTATACAGTATGTGTGTGCTGTGTAATCCTGTTACATACAGAGCCATAGGATAAAACAATTAAACCCCTCAGTCAAATAAGACGTAACTAGCTGGAATTTGTTTAAACTAAGCATTAGAACTGTCAATCACACTACAACTTGACATTTCTCCTTTCTAATATCTCTGTTCTGTGATAAAGCACGACCATCTCGAATGCAATTTCTGTTAGAATGAAGGCGTGCAAATGCCTTTTGGCAAAATGTACAGCTTTGAACAGTTTGTTAGTGGTTATAAAAAAAGGATCAAATTGCGAATACTACCTCACTTGTCACAGAAACAATTCATTAAATAAAAAGGCTCACAGACTTGAAATATCTCCAACACAAAACAGGATTATTATTTCAGAAAACAAAATAAGGGTTCATTTCAAGACAGATTTTTACTTTTTTTATTGTACAATATTACAATCACATTTGTACAAATGTTTTTAACAAAAAAAAATGCAATTCAGGCTAGAAGAAGAAATGTTTGCTGGGGCCCAGAAAACAACAATGTCCTTGAGCACTAAACCTTCATGCCGCGGTGGCTGGAACATAGTGCTGCTGCTTGGAGCGAGGGCCACGCACACACACACACACAGACAGAGACATCACATCTGAGGTGGGCTAGCATGGCTGTCTCCCGTTCACCCAGTCAGATCTTAAAAGACACGGGATGAGCAAAAGCAACACAGTGGATACCAACTTCAGTGCAGATGAAGATCGTGTACGGAAAATGGGCGCATAAAAATCCAGTTTGTGTGTCTGTGTGTGTTGTAGTGATACAGGAGAAGGGAACTAAGGGAATAAGGGTGTTGTTCGTTTGTTGTTTGGTCCAGGTCCAATGTGTTAAGAAGCCGAGGCGCAGGGTCAGAGGTCATCAGGAGAGGTTTTAAGAGCGGGTGTACTTCCCCCAGATGTGCAGCATGAAGACCGAAGCGATGAAGAGCAGACTCATCACCAGCACTGGCACCGGGCCGCTGTCACAACAAAGACAAACTGATTAACACAAACACACACACACACACACAAAATCCCATCATTTGCTGTAACCCCGCCCCGAGCGAGAGTCTTAGTGGAGTGGCTGATTTTATTGATGAGCTTTGGAAACAAGGAGGGGCTCTCATCGCTGAAGGAGGGACTGAGTGGGGGGTGGGGTGGAGGGGGTGCAACGCTAAGTAGCAGCATTGCCATGCCAACCATCTCTTCAGCGGCCCCCTCCTCCCCCTGTCAGGAGGCTGTAATTGAGTTGACCTTTCAGAGTGGATCCTTTAATGAAGCTTTGAGGCCGGCGTCTAACGCAGGAACAAACACGCACTCGATATACAACACTGTATGGCGAGTCTGCCCTCCTTCGACTGCTGGAGAGACGCACTCAATAACCACCACAGCACCATCGATCAGCCACGGCCAGCTATGGCCAGGAGAGAGGACGTCTCTAATATTGGGGGGAGGATGCAGCAGAATACAAGTTTATGAAGTTGAGAGTTTTCTAAATGTGCGCTTTCCAAACAGACACACAACTGCATGTACATACGCACACACTTGAATCAAGCTAATCCACCGCTCGGAGATGATTTGTTTTACCACAGAGGCACGTCTGTCCAATTTCCTGCCATTAAACCCTCCTCCCATTCTACCTGATGAACATAAAAAACACTAATGATAGCACGAGTGTCGGAAATCCTGAGAATTAGTTTGTGTTGGTGAGTGGATGAAAGTTAAAAATGTCAAAGGCTAAATTTGTTTCCGAGTGCGTGTATGCGGTAATAACTTCTTTTTATAAACTGCACTTACACTTTGAGGCCTGGCGAATCTTCTGTGTAGAAGCGCCACATGCCACCGGTGCCTGCCGATCCCGTGGTCCTGCCACCGCTGCGTGTACCGCTGCTGGTAGCTTTCCTGCAGAACACACATACACACAACAATTGAAAAATATATCGACACTGACAAGTGTTTGAGTCAATTTACTAACTTATAATACTAATTTTTCTCTAACTTTTAAATAACATTTTAATTAAATAAATTGTTTTGTAATTATAGAGAAATTTTCATGTTACAAAGTACAGAAAGTGCAGAAAATGAGAAGAGACACAATTTAGTGAAAATCTGATCTTTTACTCATCCAGCTGTTTCTTGAAACTCCAAACAATTTGATCAAAAAACAGCAGTTAAAAAAACAACAACTTTGCAATCATACCGAGTACTCCGACTGTAACTAACTACAATAGCTGGTGATGAAAGAGTGGAGTGATACATGGATGCTTCACTCATGTGATGAGATTAAACGGAGGTTAATGAGGTAATGAAGAGGGTGATAGTAATGGGTAATAATGAGAGAGGTAACAGTGAGCCTCTGATTACACACTGATTAAGCCCACAGCACAACATCTATCTGCTGTCCTAATCTACGCAGGGCACACACAAAATACAGGGAAGGGCTATCTGAAAATCATCAATCACTCTTTACAGTAGGATGACATAAACGGGGGTGGGGGGTAAGGCCGGTATTTAGAAGAAATGTGTGTTCAGGCTGAGATGACCGCATAACTTATCTATAATATTTCATGTGAAGTGGTCATCAGTGGCTACTTTTTCTCTGAACTCTACTGGAGTGATGGACTGAGGTGGCGTTTTAATGAGAGAGCTGCCCAATAAGTCGGACCAAGATCTCCCGTAGGAGTTTAAATGGGTTGAAATCTGGGGACTGCCACGACTCCAATTCAGTGACTCTTAGAAGGACGAATCTTCATTCATTAAGTTTCTGCGCCCATTTATTCAGCTCTTTCCTTTAATAAGTTGCTCATCCATATACACTTATGGAAGGTTTACCCATCTGTCTACTGGATGAAGCAGTTAAATGTTTGGTAGACTGTGTGTACCTCTGTCTGACTGTGGAGCCTGCTGCGCGGGGAGCCACTGTCTTGCTGGGGGAGCGGCTAGATGCCCCAACATTGGTTGCACTTGCTGCTGGTCCAGGCTGGAGGGGAGATACCAAAATGAATACACATAAACACATTCAACTGCATTATATACACTCTCTGAACATCTGCCTAAGTCTCTGTCACTCACACACACACACACACACACACACACACACACACACACAAGGTCTCACATCAG